GAAATAATTGAAGACCTTGGCGTAATAAGGTTGGTTACATGGCACATTAAGTAAGTTTTGAGAAATTAAGTTTTAAATTTGTTTTAAATCTATCAAATATAAATAAAAAAATTATTTAAATATAAATATTACGAATAATAGCTTATCTTTCGGATTAGAGATAAAATAATTTGTATGTGGCTAGTAATATCCTTGTTAACAGATGTTTTAAGCTAAAACAGTCACTTCACGACAAATTGTGGCCGTGGATGCAAATCAAGTGGTACCCCGTGTGTCTAGCAAGTGTCATTCATCGCGCAAGGGTTTATAGTGTTTATACCTAGATAAACGACTGCTTCGACTGACTGAGGTCTGGGAACTCGATGATATTCTGGGTTATTATAAAGAATCGGTAACTTGTGCTTTTATTTTAACAATATCGGTTTTATTTAGATGTATTTTTATTCATAAAGATTTGTAGAAGTAATAATTTGACAGTAGAGAATTTTGAAATTTGATACTAATGTGAAATTTAGATTACAATATTATGCGAAATTATATAATGAGTACCTATTTTAGGTAGGTACTAAATTTGTACTTGGAGAAAGTAATATCGATTTTTACAAGAAAACTGGAAAAGTAAATTTATTTAGTTCCTATTTACTGATGTAAACATTAAACCAAGAAAACAAATAAATAGTAGTTTGTGCAACAAGGGTGGATATGGACAATCCACTCGAGTTGTACAGTATATTTTTTCTATGACCCACTGACGAAAATCTACAAATTAAAATAAATTATTTTAGGTTATTTAGACAAAATAACTAATTTTAAAATAATTTACGAATTTTACTAATTTATATAATAAACATAAAAAAAATTAATTTAATTAGTCCCGGGCTAGATTCGATCCCGGGTTTTTCTCGTGGAAGGCAGGTGATCTGTCCTCATCTTCACCGACACTTTTAGGATTTTAGTTTTAATACTCGTAATTAAATGACATTCACACAGCTTGTAACTTTTATATAGATCGTCCAATTTCTCCAAAAGGTCTTCCCGATTGGCTTTCATTGCCCCTATCCTAGCCCTGAAAAAAATCATGTGTTTAGGTTTAAATAAGTTAATTATTAGACTATCATCTACACAATTAAACAAATTTAGAATTCCTAGCTCAATAGGTAACTTTAGCACCTAGGAGGAATTAATAAAAATAAAAACAGCCTAAACCCAACGTAAGTCAATAAACGAATCTGTTTATACAGGGCGTAATTCCATATTTTAATTTGTTATATTCGTTTTTTGCCTGGTAAATAAAAATTTGTTTGTTTTAATAGAACATACTATATTTTATTTTTAGAATGGCTTGTTAACACTATATTCAACCCTAGCATGTTTTGAAAAAATATTAGTTTTGCCAAACAATTATTTTTTTTAAATTAGAGAATGATGCTAACCCCAAATTAAATTATCATAATTTAGGTAGGTTTCCACTGATTAAAAAATTGTTAAATAAACATACTTATATGATACCTACTAAGCTAACGAATAGTGGTGATAGAACTGGTTTATTTTATTAAAAGTGTTTTGAAACGTGCCTTAAATATGGCTAATTTTAAGTTCAATTTACTCAACTTTTTTAAATGTATATTATTTTGACATTTACCTATTCAACGATACCAACATGTTAGCCAATAACATATATACAGGGTGTCCCATTAGTGCGTAATGGATTGATAGCTGTTTTATTATCAGAAATACAAAAAAAAAATTAATATAAAAGTTGTATTGCCATATTTAACAATTACCCCTAAATATACAAGGTGGCCTATAAACGAGGTGCTGACCAAACCTATACTACTACAGGTAGTTATTCATATCGTCAAACAATTTTAATTAATTTCACTCATTTGCTATGTTGTATATAAGGTGTGTCAAATCGTGAGGTTACGATTTTCTCTATTTTTTAAATGGATTACCCTGTATCAATTAGTCGGTGGTATAATTTATAGGATATTCCATGTTTAAAAACGTGAGAAAACCGTTACTCCCCATTTTGACACACCCTATAGCAAATAAATGAAGTCTATTAAAATGGTTTGACGATGTGAAAACTATCAAATATGTATGACTACCTGCAAGGTGTTTTGCTTTAAAAATGTGTAAGTTTCATCAACTCCCCTCGTTTATGGAACACCCTGTATATTTAAGAATATTTATTAAACATGGTCATACAAATTTATATAATTTTTTTTTCGTATTTCCACTAATAAAACAGCTATCGATCAATTACGCACTCATGGGATACAAAGTTTATGTGTTATTGGCTAATATTTTGGTATAGATTAATAAGCAAATTTATAAGGAATTTTAGGCCAAAATAATATACAGGGTGTTTTGTTTGAAAAAATTGAGTAAATTGAACTTAAAATTAGCCATATTTTAGACATGTTTTAAAACACTCTGTATAAAATGAACCAGTTCTATCACCACTATTCGTTAGCTTAGTATTTTATAAGTTTGTATATTAAACAATTTTGAAATCAATGTAAACCTACTTAAATTATAATAATTTAATTTGGGGTCTGCATCATTCTCTAATTTAAAAAAAAATAATTGCTTGGCAACACTAATATTTTTTAATACATTTTAGAGTTAAATACAGTATTGCCAAACCATTCTAAAAATAAAATAAAATACAGGGTGTTCCATTTAAAAAACATACATTTTGATTTGCCAATTCAATATTTAAAAATATTTTTAAAATATGTATTTTTCAAATCCGTATAATTTTTATTTAAAACTTTTTTTGCGTGTCTACAACACAAATTCAAATATTGAACAATTACGCACTAATGGGACATCCTGTATAAATTATATTATTATTAATGAAAATTTGTTAGAATGTGGTACTTACCGGTTTGGGTCCTTGGGAAAACGAAAGAATGTTTTCTTGCAGGTATAACCCTTATTAAAACAGCTTTTGACTGCACAGACAGAATGATGTCTTTTTTTTTCACTCATTCTACTCACAGTTAAAGAGTCACCAAAATAATAACAGTACCTTTAACTTAACACAACAGGCATCTCAAACAAAATCAACGAAATTATAGGCTCAATGAAATTATGCAATCAACGAAATTATACGCACGGCTCATTCCTTACCTAAGTACGATTCTGAACGCCAAAGCCGTCTTTTCCGTCCGAAGGAGGAGCTTAAGCAATGCGCGACGAAATCGACGCAAACCGTTGCCGCCAAGAGAGTGTGTTAGCTGTATTGTATAAGCTGTGTTATGGATGTATACTTTATGGATCAGCAAGTAATCACATTTTAAAAAGAATTGATGTCTTTCAAAATACGGTACTTCGCATTTGAATGGGTGCTATGAAATCAACCCCTATCAATCCACTGCATGTCGAAGCATTAGAACCTCCATTCCATTGTTATAGAAGAGAATATCTCAGCAAAAAATTTGTAATAAAAGTCCGATGTACAAACCCTACCTTGTATGTTAGTATTTGTAAATTAAATTATTTTGATTTAACACAAAAATATTGGATACATAAATAATCTCCTCCACTTTGTGAAGCTTTTAGAAATATTATCAATTATCTCATCAGTATAAATCAGTACTTAGATTTTGAGGATTTCTTTGCCATTTTTAACAATGTTAATGTTATACAACCAATTTATCATGAAAATCATAAAAATATTTTAAATTCACAACTAGAAAACTGGCCTGATTCTACAAAGATCTACACAGATGCTTCCAAAACTTCAACTGCCCTTTTCATCCCTTCTACATCTACAGAGAACGTTTTTAAATTACCTTAAAATTTTTCAATATTTAGTGCAGAAGCAATTTGCTATATATGAAGTTGTAAAATACATTAAAATATCTAATAATATTACTGCAGTTATTTTATCTGATTCTCTATCTGTATTACTTGCTATGCAAAGCCCAAAGCTTCCTTCCAATTCATCAAATGCTTACATTTTGCTCATTAAAAAGATCCATAATACATACATTATCCATAATACATCGAAAACAGTTCAATTAATATGGGTTAAAGGATATATAGGGCTCAATAATAATGACTAAAATCGCAACTACTAATGACTAACCGACAAGTTATCAGCTGTGCAATTTGGATGCAACAACCAAAAATTCCGAATGTGCATTGGTTTAAAAACTATTCACTTCCTCGAAAGTATATCACAACTATTATTAGTTTGAAATTTGGACATGCATGTTATCCAGCACATTTATTCAGAATCCATGTTATAAATTCGGAGATATATACAATGTGTCAAGAGAAATGCGATCTAAATCATATTTTCTTTAGTTGTGCAAACTATATCCAACAATTTCAAGATCTGATACAAGATCTAATTTAAAATAATATATTTTCTTCGTTTAACATTTCCCATCTCCTCTCACTCAATCAAAAAAAAAAAAAAATTACGACCTCTTGATAAAATTTGTGTATGAAAGTATGTTTGTAATTAATATTAGTCTTGCAACCTATGTTTTAACCCAATTGTTATATACCTACCTACCTTACCGTGACCTATTTTTGTGTGACAACAAAAATGTCTTGACGGGCCCCTAGACAAGAAGAAATGTTTTCCCTTGTTTATTCCTTGCTTGTCTTATATTTTCTTTTATATATTTTTCTTCTTTTCTTGCTTAGGACAAAAAAAGTCACTAAAATATCAAATTAATTATCGTTGACACATTAAATTTGAACGAACAACACTCTGAGATGTGAGGTCCTCAACTGTGATTGGTGGATGTGAATAATTTCGAGGAATTATGCGCAGTGTGTTATGTTCTATCTACAGTTTTTATAATCTAAGTTCCAAAATAGTAGAGGTTTTTTTTTCTCTTCAGGGGACCAGCAGTACCTTCAGCACTGAATTTTTTCACCCGATCAGTGGAGACTAAAAAGACTAAAAATAGAAGGGTTAGAAATTAATACACTATACCGTGAAATAACATTGTTTTAAATAAATTTTTTAGTCGGTTGTATTTCGCTTAATAGCTGAACGAGTATCTGTTCTCCAAGTGTTCTCCAAACAAGCTGATATCTGTATTTCGACGAGAGCTTTTCCCAGCACTAATGTAAAAGTAAATACGGAAGAGAACGTGTTAATTTGAATATTCAAGTACTCGTCTGAAGTCTCTAAAGAAAACGCTGGAGCAAAACAGACGCAGATTCTGAATATAAAATTTAACGCGCTAATTTTACGAAAAAGACGACAATAAAGAAATACTAAAAGTTTTTGGATGAAAATTTGTAGTGATAGAGGCAGAACATAAAAACATACTGCAAACACAGAGGCGGTGGTACATTAGAAATTGATTTTTTAAACAAGCTAACAATATTAATAGCAATAGTATGTATAAATAGGTATTGTATGATAAACCAAAAACTAAAATTGTTGATTTTATATCCAAAATTTCTCAAGCCGCCGATAAATTTTACTCAATATTTTCAAATTAAAAATGGTAATAAATATTCATCATTTTTGTTACAGGAGTTTTTTTTTAAACTTCATTTCTGCACTACATTTTTGATATTGCAGACAGACTTTTTCAATCTTCTTAATTATGTCTGTAATATTTTATTTCTGTTTCGTAAGTTTGAAGCTGTACTGTTGGCAACAAAAAAAGTTTTCATAATGACCGATTTTCTAAAGACTTCAATGTACCGTTACCAAAATATCTAGGTTTTCTGAAATAAGTATTCGTATACAATTTAATTTATCAACTGAGATCAAATCTAATGTTTGATTTACTTCTTAATTAATGGTGACTAAAATGTTGTTGATGAGTTTTTCAGAGTCAGACCTTGAACTTGAGTATTGAAGTGTATGAGGTACTTTTGTTACAAACTATAATTTTTTTATTTGTTTGCAAGTTTAATAATACTATTAAAGAAGTAGGTACTTGGCCCATAATCAAATGATTTAGTATCTGAAGAAATTACTATCTAGTTTAACATCAAGATCGGTGGTGAAGAGTAGAATAATAATATAATAAAGGCTAAAACAATAACATAATATAGGGGTGGGTGGCTCAGTGGTAGAGTATCTGCCTAGAATTCCCCATTTGACCATATTCACTGTTGGGTTCTAATTAACAGTGTTGTTCCTAAAGTGGCGCTGGGAAACAGTAACTTTAGCAGTCGATGCCGATGACACAAAATTAAAAAAAAATAACATAACATAATAGCCTACAAAATGGGTATACTAAAAGAATGATAAAGTAAAAGAGTTGAAACTTATTTAGTAGGTATATCCAATCTGACATGAGAATTGAATTCAGCGACCTCAAAAACCCAAACTCTCAATGTGAAAAGAGGATATTTACCTTTATATTCCTCGTTGACAGTCAATTGACAGCTGTCAACTCTCAATTTGTCCAATCTGACATGAGAATTGAATTCAGCGACCTCAAAAACCCAAACTCTAAATGTGAAAAGAGGATATTTACTTTTATATTCCTCGTTGACGGTGAATTGACAGCTGTCAACGGTCAATTTGTCCAATCTGACATGAGGGTTGAATCCAGTGACCTCAAAAACATTACCCTATATATTAGAATAATTAAAATATGCTTTTAACATCTTTGAATACACGGGAAAAAATTGTAGAAAAAATTTCTACAACTATACATTTTTTCTCTACATATAGGAACAGGAACAATTTGTAGTAAAAATTTCCAAATATTTGTAGAGAATGTATTGTAGAGTTATTATCTACAATATGTAGTAAAAATATCCAAATGCATCCTAAGAATTGTTCCACAAATTGTTATAATTTTTGCTATTCATTGTATGAATTTATATTAAAAATGTATTACGTTTCATGAAAATTAATACGAAATTTTTACACAATAAATAGTAAAAATTCATACAAATTGTAGTAATTTTTATTAAAATTTGTAGTAGTATTCCATAATTATTATAATTATAACCTAAAAAAAATGTTCCTTAATAAAATATTCAAAATTTATTGTTTTACTATAAAAGATACAAAGTCTTAATTACATTATGTAATAAATAACAGTAATAATAGCTCCCTCAGTCTCAGTTGGCTTTTCTGCACCTGAAAAATATGAAATAAAAATCAATACCTATTGAACTGTTAATACCCTTAAAACGGGGATATTTATCACCTTTACACTGATTGGGATATTAAATGACTATGTCAGATAACCAACAAAAATGAAAAAGTAGGTATGTCATAATTAAAACAAAAAACATCATTGAACTTGGCACAACATCCGATCGTTGGCCACAACAATTTTTTTTTTAATAATCTACTAAGGTTATTTAAATTAGTTATCTAAAGGTAAATTATTCAGAAACAATAATAAAGCTACTTACCACTAATAGAAGTTATTATAGTATTTTTAATACAAATCCCGATGCACGTCAGCAATGACGTCGGTCATTCGTCATAGTACTACCAACTAATTAAAATGTCTCTAACTAAGCTAATAATCCGAAAAAGTCACGTATAATCACGAGCATTCATGAACGTAGTCATATTACTAAAAAATCGAAAACTGTTATGGTGATTATTTTGATAATTTTAAGAATTATTTAAATTATTTAGTTTATACATGTCTAATTCTTGATAATATAAAATTTATAAAAACATTATTAAATGTTTAGTACTCAAAAAATAATACTTTACATTAAATAATTTTGACATTCTGTACGCCCATGAAGCTCGTATTTATAGAGAAGAAATGTCATTACAGCAATTGGTACACCTTGTTGCGGTGTTGCAACCCCTTTTTTAAAAAATTTCACTGATTTAGTTAGGTTATGTTTATGTTGAGTTAATTATTGATTGTGCATTTTGTTTTCTGTAATTTAAAATCCTTTTGCCTGTATTTTTAAGCTTTGCCAGTGTAACCTACCAAATGAACTCGGTGATTTCACCAAAATTTTAAACTTAAAAAAAAATTATTAAAGTATTAACTACAATTAAAAATGTTGTCTACTACGGTTACATAAGTTTCGGCTGTTCCGGTGTCAACCTTCGGGCCTTCGACGTCGCTCAGACGGCAGCTAGGGGGTGGATAGCTTACAAGAATTCCAGAAATAGTAGACAAATGAGTAGGCGCCAACTGGGTCTATATAGTGGCCAAACTATGATCCTATTTCCCCAAAAACCCAGTAAATGAGGAAAGAAATAAAAGACAAACCTCAACTTATGTTCCTTTATAAAAAAAAAGGAAAAATATTTACTAAATATATCAACTTTAAATGTCAACAATTATTTATTATGAAATTACCTAATGGCTTTAGATAATAAAAAAAAAAAAATAAGTTGGAGGAAATTAAAGGGAAAGTTTACACCATATATGTATATGCATATCCCAAAATAAATTATTAAATGTATCAAAATATGGCACGGTTCGTCGTTAGCTTGGTACCAGGCATGACGCTTGCGCAAAATATTAATTTCCACCTTACATAAAATATAAAATAATAGTTAACTTAAATCTTGTGCATAACCGCACCTATACTACATCATATATTGTAAAACAGTAAACTTATAATCCTTATAAGCTTATAACCCTCTCCAAATTGGAAGGCGATATCTGCTTAACTTTTAGTTAAGACCAAACTACCCAAAAGAAAATTATTAAACCATGAAATTTTATAATTAAGTATAATTCATAGAACTAAATAAAAATATAAAAAAAAAATTAAAATACAATGAACATATGAAGGACTTTAGACAGAGGTTATTTACTTAAACTCCCAGGTTGGAAGAGGTTACTTAATCTCTGCCCCCACACGGGTCTTCTGAGATTGCTTAACTTATACGTTAAGTCTTATCATAAAAAAAAATAAATAAAATATAAAAATGAAGGATAAGGTTAAATTTGACTGTAACTCTTAATAACTGAAGGTTTACAACTTAAGCGTAGAAGCAGTCCAGATGTTCTGCAACTAGAAGAATCACTACTCCAGCATTAAGTGGTTATAAAAAAAATAAATGAAAAATACACAAAGGACTTCAGACACCGTTGATATACTTTAAAGCTCCCATAAATAGGAAGAGGTTGTTAAATCTCTGCCCCCACACGGGTCTTCTGAGATCGCTGAACTTGATCGTTAAGTCTGGTCCATTTAATAATGAATAAATTGAAAAAGTAAAATTATGACAGTAGCCCTTAATAACTGAAGAATTACAACTTAAACGTGGAAGCAGTCCAAGTGTTCTGCGACCCGAAGGTAAGTAATATTTGATAATACATAAGTTATGAGTGAACCCTAGAGCATTCTGTGCTCAAAAGTATAAATAATGTTGAAAATACCTTGACAACATTCGGTTGAAAGTGAATGTATAGTTTAACAGTGCACACATCAAACCTTCAATATAACGTATAAGAAAAACCTGATAGTAGGGTGTCTTCTTTCACATCATTCCCATCTTCCTATCCAGAACGATAATCATCCTTGTAAATCTAGCTACAAGTAAGCTAGGCGACTAGCATACCAATGTTCTGTGTTCCCTCGATGAAACCGTTGAACTCCGGACGATATAACCCTCTGTGTACAACTGTTGAAATCCTGAGTCGCTACCCCCTGGGTAAAAATTGTTGACGTTGTAAGATGTTTTCTTGCCTCTAAGAAAATATTACCCTTACTAGTGACACCCTAGGACTCGGAAGTACTCGAGCGCCAGTTTTATTAATGTGGTTTGCTCCACAACACAGGTAGCTTCTAGTGGAGATGACGGAAAAACTCCAGGGGTCTCGTTGATGTAAGACTATACACATAAGAGGGTAACAATAACGGGCTTTAATCGTTATTGTTACGTTTAAAGAATTGTCGAAGCTGAAAGAGAAAAAGGGAAAGGTCGACACAATTATAAGCCAAATTTTTGAAAATTAATACATCTATTGCTTACGAAAGCTATTAACAATAATAAAAATTTAAATATTTCAAAGCCCACCCCCTTATGAGTCGTTATAACTCTGAACAAAAAAATAACAAAAATAAGCGGTTGCGGACGATGGCTTGACAGGTCGGAGCTCAATCAGACGTGATTTAGATAAATATACAGATAAAAGCAAATGACACGGAGTTCTGAATTAAATCGGATTACGGTAGCATTTAGTTATGAACA